CAGCAGAGGGCAGCGCCGGACCGGCGGAACGCACGTCGGCCCGAAGGCGGCCTCGGGAACGGGCGGCGCTTGCGCCGCCCGACCCCCGAAGCAGCCTCGGGGGGGTCTTTTCGGTCAGCCTCGTCTGTTGGGGTTTTTTGTGCGGGTTTCTTCCCCAGGAGGGAGCACTGCGTTCGAAGGTGGTTCTTCCCACTGGCAGGAACGCGGTTACCGATAGTTTATCCGCTCGTCAATCAAAATCCTAGAAGTCGTGCGAGAAGTGGTAAAGAATCTTCAGAGGACAATTAGGGCAATAAATAAATAAAATCATAATGTATTTATAGATATAAATAACATACATAAAAATATAATGGAATTTGTTATAATGAGGAAATAAATATAAGCAAACTTTCTCCTAGAAAGGAACTTTATTTTCTAAAACTAGAAAATAGACGTTTTAGAAGAAAGATGATTTTTGTGTCTTACCTTACCAGATAAAGACCTGGCATAACATCTACTACTGTATTGCAGGACAACTTTTTATTTGCATAATTTTAGTAGTGGTAATATCCTATTGGTTTCTGGATTAGTTTAGAAACAAAGAGAAACTAATTTTACTCAAGTATTCAGACTCCTGGTAGGAGACACGTTCATCTGGCTGATAGATTTCAAGGGTGAGTTTATGCAAGCTACAGATTTTAAAGATACCAGTTGAGAAAGAAAGGAAAGAATTACAGAAACTTATAAACTAAAAGATGAAGCGAACGAGGTAGTAGACCTGGCTAAAACTCAGAATTTCTATCTCATAGGAAATTACAGTATATCCTCTAGAAAATAAATTCTGAAAACTCTTAATTTTAGAAGGTCAAAACATTTTGGTGATGCAGGGCTTGGGGGATTTCTTTCAGAAACAAGATAGCATCCTTTTCCCCCTTTTTCCTGAAGTTTCCCTCAGCTCACAGTGGAGGGACTGTGTGCACTGTGTTAGCACCTGGGCTTCCACTACTCCAGCCATAGCCAACACCTCCGTGCCCTGCAACCCCTTCCAGCAACCTGCAGGGCAAAATCTCAAGTTCCAACTTGGCAAGCAAAATCTCTCTGTGTTGGTGACAGTTGATAGAAGTGAAAAAATTCCCCCAAAAGCGTGTTTTAGGTTGGTATATTTTGATGGAAATTTCTTGACTAGCTCTCCGTACTCAATCCCAAAGGCTCCCAAACGGTCAGGAACGTTACCTGTAGTGCGTGTAAGACCACAGTCTAATGAAACATCTCCCGAGGAGAACAGATATGATCTTCCACTTGCACCACAGTAAGCTATGAAGATTAACTTTGTTCAGGAGTGTTTGGGAACAACTGCCAAACACCTGACCAACCCTCAGAGAGTTCCTCTTTATTGCTTGTATCTTGAGTTTGTTGCCTATATGATTTCTAGTAGTTTCTACTGCCAGTAGAAACTAGCAGTATTAATGAAAATATCAAGCATTTTAATATCATGTTTCAAATAGCATGGATTGACACTGAGCTGGTCTTGTAACTTCTGGCATAAATTTACAGAGAGTTCAGTGGCAAAGTATAGTAGCTTGATGTGATCAGTGCAGCATGTGTCAGTGCTGACTCTAGACAGAGATACGATCCTCTGTGCCACTTGATTCATGTCACATTACAAGGTCGGGAATTAAAAGCGGACAGTCTCAGCAGCTGTGCAGGGGGGTGCAGCCCTTTAGCAGCCCCCAGGAGAAGGAGGAGACCTTCCACACCAGGGCTGTACAAGCCCCACTGGGCAAACAGCAGACAAAAGGTCTGTGGGGCACTCGCAGGCTTTCTGGTGAACAGGAGAAGGGTGGGAAGCGAGGATGAGTGTCGCTGTGGTTTCTGGAAACTTCCCCAGAATTAAACAACAGAGGGGAAGGAAAGGAGCAGGAGGATGGCATGGCGCGGCATTCTTCCACCTCTGTCTTCCCAGAGCTAACTTCTGGCTTCAGGGGAAAGTGGGGCTCCGCTGGGCTGATAACCAGTAGCAAAGGAAAATGACAGGCATCGCTCTCTCTTCTCAAGTCCCCCAGCCTGGCCAGGGAGTAGGTGGACAGGCATCGTCTCTAACACGGCCCAACAAGTAGCCATACAGCCTGCCCAGCTCTTTCTTCTCTACTTGGAGGTATAGTTCAAGTCAGAGCCCAGTTCTGACACATGGCGTTTCCTCTTTGTGCGGGGCACATGTTGTCTGCTCAAATCTAACACCGTAGTCAAAGCACAATACCAGCTGACAGACCCCAGCCAGGCAGCGAGTAGCTAAACAACGTTGTCAGACTGGAAAGCATTAATGGTATCAAAAGGGCCTTTGTCCTATAGATAGTCCCAAGCCAACGGCTGTATGAGGCAATCATTTTTCAGGCCCTGTGCCAATTATAAACGAAGCTGACAAGCTGTATTTTCCCCAGTTACTGCGTGACAGGGCTAGGCTGCATGAAAAGCTAAAGCATAAGGGCCGAGGGGTTGCTTGGTTGCAAATGCAGAGGATGGGGCCATGTTTTACGGGCTCTGTGGTATGAGAGAAGGTGGAGGAGACTGAGCATCCGCCGAGCCAGGACAGAGGGTTTCTTGGGTCCAGCAGGGAGCAGTGAACAGCAGCCCCGCAGACAGAAGGTGAAGAGACAGCCTGCTGTTTGTTAATAATGCGTCTGGAAATTTAGGTGCAGCCTTGTTTCAAATCAACAAGCAGGCAGGAATGAATGAAGGGTATGCTTAGGTTAAAGGAACAACAAAATCCGAAGTGACAGGTGGTGGCAAAGCGGAGCATTATGTACTCAAGACTTCAGCTAATAACATGTAGCATTGTCGCACGTTATGCAGGGGAAAGATAATTTTTATATCAGCCAGATTTAGCATTAACTAGAGAGAATTTGCTGTATAATGGAGGATAGCATAGAATGGTGAGACTGGAAGGATCATAGGCCTTCAAATTTTATCTGTAAGTACAAGATTTTAATATTAATTGGGTGTATAGAGAAGTATAACCTTTTTTCTGATCAAATTTTTTCTCTTCTCCCTCCTAGTCCTAAAACTGTGTTTCTGCCCCAACAAGGTTGATTTTATAATAGTGTCACTAGGGAGAAGACGTACTTGTTGATTTTAAAATGAAACTGGTTTACAAAACAGGAAGCTAAGAAAGAGGAAGAAGAATCTGTGCTAGTCTAAACATTGCGATCTAGTATTACACAGATCCTGGTTTTCAGTGGAAGGGAATAAAAAACCCCTATCTGTTACCATGTCTTGACTTTCAAACAGGACATGGCACAGGCGGTCTTCAGAAACCACACAGGAGTGGAAAGGGCAAAGGGATACCCTGGATCAGTATGATCTGATTTAAAAGCTAGCTTGAGCTCTTTCAGGTGTACCGATGCATTCAGTGGGGTAGTAGTCCTCAGGCCAAGGCCCAGAGGGC